CCGTAAATATTAAAATATCACAATACTCTGCTGCAGTGTACTCCATATTTTACAAACGTTTTATTGCATTATCGTTAAAAAGTGGGAATGCGAACAAATGATATACTAAATAAAAAAGAATAATGTTATTTAGTACATCATTTATTCGCATACTCGCGCCGTACTTCACTCTAATGTCATAAAACGTTTATGAAATATGGAGTACACTGCAGCAAAATATTATGACATTTTAATTAAAATTAAACTAATTATAAATATTGTAAATATTAATTGTAAATATTAATGCATGTTATACTGTTCTAATACTTATAATAATTAATGTAAAATAAATATTGTAAATTTTTTAAAATAAATAATTAATATTAATAATAATTAATTAATATCTACTAATTTATAGAAATAAATAAATCAAAATTAATGAAAAATAATTTAATTTTTTAATAAAATAAAAGTTTTACTTTGTTTTATTTAATTTTTATTATTAAGAAACATCGTATCGATTGCTCCGTATCGATTGCTCCGTATCGACGCGATAAGACATACTTTGTATCGCTCGTATTGATTTTCTGTCACACTAGTGCGTTGCGCTTCACGCTAATGCTTGACAGTTCTGCACTTGTGTCGTGCTTGACGGCTTTCGCGTGCGTATCGTAATTTCGTACAATTCGGTAAGTCATCAGTGATCAGTTTGTTAAGTGAAAAGTGTCAAAAAGTGACGCGATGGTAACCTTGCTACACACGTGCGCGAAAACGCGTCGCGTGTTAAAAGCAAGATACGCTGTGTGTGACCGTGTGAACTGACCGGCGAAATTTCCTGACTCTACCCTTTCTGTGGAGGACTAAGTGTAACAGTGTAACAGTGTAACAGTGTAACAGTGAACAGTGAACAGTGAACAGTGAATAATTTCGAGAAACGCGTTAAATAAATTGTTATACAAGATACGCGCGCGGGGTTCTTCGATGTGTGACGTCCCTGAGCGCGCGAAAATTCACCGCATTTATTGGTGATCTGTAACCGGTTATAACTCAAAAACTAGGACACCTTCGACATTTTGCAAGAGGAACTTTCGGCTCAGAATCATATCAGGAATCTATCCTGAAGAGGTTTGACGGTAGGTCTGGGACACCCTGTATATTAAAACAGTTCAGGTTTTTGCTTAGCAACCTTTGACTAGACTGTATTAACCATGTATCAACTACAAGTTAACAATTCAAACTATGGTAATATTACATGACAAACTACAGTAACATTACATGACAAACTACAGTAATATTACATGACAAACCTCACTGCTGTAACTAGAACCAGAAACACTATACAAAACCGGTGCTGGCAAAAGAGATTCATCGTGAACAGAAGCTGCGTACAAGGATACCGCTGTTGTCCTTGCCAACAGGAAGCCGAAGGAGAAGCAAAAGTAGATCTTCCGTACAATACCGCGTATTGGACTGTTAAAAAAATATGTACATAATTTTACAAATTTTCTTACCGTAACTTTTTTCCTTTAAATTTAAAGCCATTTTACATTGAAACAAAATTCCTATTAGTACAAAAACAATACTAAGAAAACCTTTACTTAAAATATCTACATTTATAGAAATCATAGTTTCAGTTAACTGAGCAACTCAGTACTCGGAATTAATTGCACATTTCAAATAATTTTGTATGTCAACGTTTACTTTTTCTCCATAGCGCGCACGTTGCAGCAGCTAGGAAGCACCAGCCCTAGCTGTTGTAGCGCGCATAGTTAAAAAAGAAAATACATGTTGACAAAATCCGCTAGAAATATGCAATCAATTCCGAGCACTGGAGTGACCGAACAACATGAAAATTGTTTTTAGATAAACATGATGACAGTTATGTCACAGTATAATCAGTATGTTTACTTAACAGATTTCTATCTATATACCTAGATCGCTAGGTCTGAGAAATAAAAATAAGTGATTCAATGGAGAAGATAGCGGCCATTTTTAATGACTCAAAAATCGTATAACTAAACTATAAACTATAAAGCATTTTGCAGCAACATACTTTTATATACGAGGGTCGGTGCGAAAGTAATGCCTTCAATTTTTTTTTCAGAAAATTTAATTTTTATAACAATGGTTTTTACATGATGTAATCTTCAGTCATTAACAAACATTCAGTTATTTCTCCACAAAGTCACTATTACGAAAAGTGTTTGTGAAGCCCTCAAGAGTCGCAGTAAGGAATTTAATGGGTCTGAATATGGCATCTGATTTAAAAATGGCAAAAATGCATATAAAATGATGGTGACTTTGAGAAAATATAACTGAATGTTTGTTGATGACTGCAGATTATATCATGTAAAAATCATAGTTGTAGAAATTAAATTTTCTGAGAACAAAAATTGGAGGCATTACTTTCGTACCGATTTTCGTATATATTTGCATATATTTATATGTATACAGGGTTTGATAATGTTTGTGTAACGCTCGTGTACGGGTAGAGCGCGGTAAACTAAACAAAAAAATTTTTTATTGTGATGCAATTTTGCAATAATAACTGAAATATTAATTAAAAAGGATTGATGAATGATAGCGCGTTGCGCGCGGCTAAATCGTGAGCAGTACGATCTAGACGAAATCGTGCGAGAGAAGGAGTAACACGCGAGCAGCTAGCAAGATCCAACGCGCCGTTTCCGCCTGCTCGCTGCCCACCCTGTTATTTTTCGTTGCCGTGCGACACGCCGCTGACCCACCCAGATCATATAGTCCATGGTCTAGCCGCACGCAATGCGCTATCATTCGTCAATCCTTTTTAATTAATATTTCAATTATTATTGCAAAAATTGCATAATATCTTTTATAGTTCCCCATAAAAAAAAATCAAGCGGTGTTAGATCCGGAGAGCGTGCTGACCAGTTAATTCTTGAGTCCTTCTTAATATATTTGATAAATATTCACATAAGATCAATCTCTTCAAAAGTCAATGACCTTGACATATGTTGTCAAGGACATATTCCCGAGTAACAATAAAAAAATTTTAGCCGTCGCTCGTTTATTAAAAAGTTACTAACAAAAAATTTATTGAATACATCATCGTACACTTTTGAGGTAAAGCGAAATTGAATCAAAACCTATACTCTGTCCAGCGAGAGAATATACATCTTTCTGCACATAGGAAAAGCACAGCGGTCAAAGTGGGGAGAGCGTTGACATTGACGAGCTGCACGAGCAGTACAGTCATGTGAAGTGAAAGGGGAGGGGGGGTTTTAAGCATTCCGTGAGAGGAGACCTGCGCGAAACAGACGAATTTTTGTCCGACCCAGGTATATTCTCTCGCTGGACGAAGTATATATAAGTCGTCCGTTTCACGCAGGTCTCACGGGACGCTTAAAAAGCCCCTCCTCACTTAACATGATTGTACTGTTCGTGCAGTTTGTCAATGCTAACGCTCTCCCCACTTTGGCCGCTATGCTTCTCCTATGCGTAGAAAGAGGTATATTCTCTCGCAGGACAGAGTACAGTTTTTTATTGTTCGGCTCCCAAGAAAGGGGGGGGGGGGACATCGCCTCCACGCATACACTTTCCACGCGAAGCGAGGTTCCACATAGGTTTGCAACTATTCACGAAAATACTGAATAATATTTATAATGTGTCATAATAATAACAAAAATTTGTAATATTGTATATTACAAATAATAAATAAGAAAAATGTTGATTTTTAACATTCGTTTGTGCGTACATATTTTTTAATAACTTTTTAACAAACAACGAGCGACGGATAAAACTTTTTAATTGTTACTCGGTGATGTGTCCTTGACAACATATGTCAAGGTCATTAACTTTGAAGGGATTGACATTATGTAAATATTTACATTTTTCTGAAAACATGTTGTTGAAGGTATCACGTATAATTGTGTACTACGATACGCCAACAGCGTAGAATATGAGAGAGCGCATTATTAATGCCTTCAGAAATATTACTCCACAAGTAATCGCAACAGCAAGGCACTTGTTTATCGAACGTTTCTAAAAATATATTATAAAATTACAGACTTAAAATCTACTTATATATTAACCATTTCAGTGGTAGACTTTTCGAGTAAGTCCCAGTTGCGCACAGAATAAATCGGACACAGCAAGTTGAATGAATCGGACACAGTGTCAATCGGACACAATAGAAAACGGACACAAGATGGTTGCAATTGGACACATAACACTCGGACACAATAGGAAACGGACACAGTAACAATTGGACACATTGAAAATCGGTCACAGTGCCAATCGGACCGCGTCTGTAGAAAAACAAGTAGCTAGCGTACTAAAACTATGAGGCATCTACATATGTAGTAAATTTCTGAAATACTGAAAAGGAGAAACAAAATAAATGAAAGAAATTAAGTCAGAACAATTCTTCAATAACTGGATTCTTTAAATTTCAAGTCAAGTAAATTTCAGTAATACGTACGTTAGCTACTTGTTTTTTTACGGACGCGTTCTTTATTTCAGCAAATAAATAATGGATTATTTTTCTTTAGAGGAGAAAGTTGAAATAATTTTAAAATAATTTTGAAAGTTGAAATAATTTTATGTTGCCTTAAAGAAAAAGTGTATACAGAAGTACCAAATACTCGAGAAAACATGGTGGAACGTATTAGATATGCTTGCGCACAAATAACGCCAGATACACTTTCTACATGTGTACAAGCATTCCAAGCTCGAGTTAATAAATGCATCGAAATGGAAGGTCATCATTTCGAGCATTTATTGTAATTGAATAGTGACAGGCGAGAGGACTCACCGAAATAAAGCACCTCGATGGTGAGAGAAAATGGCAAAAACTAATTTTCACTGATTACAGCGCCATCTATCACGATTCGAAAAAATGTCTCGGACAAAAACTTACGTATTTTTTTCCAAGGAATCTGAATCTGCAATAAAAAATGGGGGTTCCCATTTGAAATTTCAAAGTTGCCACCCGCCCCACCCCCAAGGGGCGGTGGGGGCGGGTTAATTTTTACACAGGCAGACGTCCCCCTTGATAATATTAAAAGTTTATTTAGGACATTTTTTCGTACAATGCTTATTTTTCGAAATATTTAGTTGTCTCAAGTTAAATGGGACACCCTGTATGATACATTACCACTCAACTGGTTAATTAGCTTTGTATATGTTTTATATATTGTATATGTTTAGCTCTTTATATGTTTTTTGTCTTGCTGATTTGGCAAACCAATTATAAGTTTTTTTGAAATATAATAATTATTATTAAAGAGTAGTTAATCGATCACCTTTATAGGATATAATTCATTGAGAGTTGATTAATAATACCAAATTTTTAGGGTAATCATTCATTAGTAGATAAAAAATTTACTTAATTAGAAAATCTAAATTTCTTGGTAAAGCATCATCTTAAGCAGCACTAACAGCTAGTTGTATTGAATGGCAAATACACCTAATAAGCACTAAATTGGGAACCTCTTCTTTTAATCGTTTATATACTGTTGGAGGTTATTATTAAATAAACTACAAGGTGTGACTTGAACAGAAAATTATATTTGTTAAAACACTCACGAGCGCGCATAAAAGTCGGCAAGAAGGATAAAATCACAATAATAGAAAAGCAAAGAAAGTGACGAGCGCGCGCATGCGTTAGTGCGTAGTTAGGGCGCGTTGATTCAAAAATGGTATACCAACACCCCCGCTTAATGCGAACTATGTTAAAGTTATATGTTTTACATTAATTTCTTTTAAGCATCTATAGTGACTAGGTTTGAAAAGCGCTTTAGTTAGAATATCCGCGGGCATTTCATTGGATGGCAGGTATTCTACGTCGATTTTTCCTTTTTCGTAGATTTCGCGGATATAGTGGAAATGAACGTTTATGTGTTTCGTCCGAGAGTGATGCACCGAGTTCTTCATCAACTGTTGAATTCCCCGATTATCGCAGTAAACCATAGTTGGTTGAATCCGATTCATGAATCCGCTTTCTTCCAGGAATCGTCGTAGGTATACTGCTTCCTTAGCTGCTTCAATCAAGGACATACATTCTACCTCGGTGCTAGATAAAGCAGTGGTTTTTTGTTTCTTAGCTTTCCAGGTGACCGGACCTCCTGCGAGCTGAAAAATGTAACCAGTATATGATTTTCTTTCATCGACGTTGGATGCCCAATCGGCATCAGCGTAACCGATTAGCTCCTTTTTAGTCTTTTGGAAATGTAATCCGTATGTGCTTGTCTGTCGAAGGTATCGAAGTATCCGTTTAACAGCGTTCCAGTGCGGTTTGCCGGGATTTTGATTGAATTAAGATAGAGTATTCACTAAGAACATTATGTCAGGGCGTGTGCATACAGCTAAATATGTAGCGTTCCTATCAGCTTCTGGTACGGTATGTTACTCATCTCGATGGCTTCCTCTTCGGTTGTAGGGCACATTTTTTTCGAGAGCTTGCGCTTTCCATTCATTGGTGTGTTTATAGGTTT